CTTTCATCTTCAAACAATAATATAGTACAGTTTTCATTCTCAGGAATTTCAATTAATTCACTAACATTTTCTGAATTGCATGAAATATTTTTAGTTTAATATACACATACTAATTTTTTTTTTTAAAAAAATTTGTGTAATTTTAAAATTTATCCCCTAAATAATTTACCCAAAATGGAACCGACATAAAAATATTCGAAATATTTATATTTAATTTTACCCATTTTCTAGCATAACTATTTTTTCTTTACCCTACGAAAGTCATGACCTTTTAAACCATATATATTAATTTACCCAAAATTTTCTCTGACCTTTCAATTTTTTTACATATTGATTTACCCAAAATAATGTAACCCATCTATGTAGTTTCCGGGGTCCTATATGTGGTCAATTATGTTTGTGTTTATACTAATGTGTAACACCCCAACCATATATCCGTCTATAACGAACTGATGATCATATATCACATGACATTGATTATTTTCTATTTAATTTAGTATTAATTTTATATTTGGTTTAATATCAATATTCAGTATTTAGTAATTTATGTTTTAATATTAAAATTTAAAATCTAGTAATTTTTTTATGTTTTAAATTAATATTTAAAATTAGTAATTTTTTTATGTTTCAATAATGAATTTGATTTAGGAATATTAATTAATATATTAACATTAATATTTAATATTTAGTAATTGCATGTTTAAAAATCTTATATAAAGTTTAATTTTTTACTTTGAGTTGCTTTTCTAAATCCAAAACAAAATTCTTTCACAAATTGTCTAATCACATAAACAAACTAACAAATAAATTAAAAATAAATTAATCTCAATAATGTCTTCTTTAAATAAAAGAACATCATTAACTGCTTTACAGAAAAAAGAATTATGTTTAGCAAAACACAGCCACATACCCTACAAATGTAGATTTGTCAAATACTTTTAACATAGGTAAAAGTACTGTTAGTGAAATTTTAAAAGATAAAAAAAATGGCTTGAAATTGATGAAGCTAACAAAAGGAAAAGAAGAAACATGATGTATAATGATATTGATCAAGCATTGGCTATTTGGGTTGAGCAATTACTTAATGCAAATATAGATCTTAGTGGCGAAATATTAAAAGAAAAGGGAAAGGTTTTTGTTGAGCTCCTTAATAAAAATGATTTTAAAGCATCAGGTGGTTGGTTAACTGGCTTTAAAGAAAGGCATAACATTAAAGAATATGTAAAACATGGTGAAGCTGGTAGTGTTCACATTTTGGAATTACCATCATATAGAGAACAAATAAAAAATATTACAAGTCAATACCAATTATCTGATATTTTCAATGCAGATGAAACAAGCTTATTTTGGCAATTGGAGCCTTCTAGAATGTTGTCCACAGGGCCAGTAACTGAAAGAAAAAAATCAAAAGAAAGGATTACTGTAATGCTAACTTGTAATGCTGATGGAACAGAAAAATTAAAACCCCTTCTGATCCACAAATATCAAAATCCAAAAGCAATTAGAAACATTGATAAAAATACCTTGAAAGTGAAATTTTATTGGAATATTAAAGCATGGATGCAAACTTCCATCTTTCATGATTATCTAAAAGATTTAAATAATGAAATGAAAAACCAAAATAGAACCATTTTATTATTATTAGATAATGCTCCTACTCATTCTGTTTCTGAATCAATAAATTTAATTAATTTGAAAGTTCACTTTTTACCATCAAATACAACTGCATTTTTACAACCATGTAATGCTGGAATAATCAACAACTTTAAAGTAATTTTATTTAATTTTTCTAAACATCAATATTTTTTATTTTTCTATAATAGTTTCTAATGTCTAGATTTTAAATTTTATAGGCAAATTCCAATTAAAGATGCAATTAAATTTACAGCAAAAGCTTGGAAAAGAGTTACTAGTCAAACTATAATTAACTGTTGGAAAAAAACTGGTATTTTACCTGATGTTAATAATAATTCCAATGAAATTGAAAATGCAACATCAATTTTAAATACATCAAATGTAAAAGAAGTTAATGATTTACAGAATTTAATTGATAAACTTCCCCACATTAATCCTATATCTGCATCTGAATACATTACAATTGATGATACTGAAAAGGAACATGAAATAGATATAGATGAACAAGAAATAATTTTAATGATTACTCAAAATGAGCAAATCAAGAAGAAGAAGCCATTGAAGAATTTCCACCTGTTTCAAATAAAGAAGCTTTATTAGCAATAGAAAAATTAAACACATACATTGACCAACAATCTGAAAAGTTGCAACTAAGCAACTATGAAATTAAACCATTAAAAAGTCTTAAAAGAAAAATAATCAACATTAGATACCTTTTTTAATTAATTTGTTATTTTTGCAAAGCAATATATATATATTATTTATTTTATTTTTAATTTGCAAAATGGTTATATATTTTTTTATATATATAAAATTTTTTTTAAATAAAGTTTATCCATGTGATGATCTACAAATTTCCTATAATGAACTTTTTTAGCCCAGCCCAAAAGTTCGTTATAGAGAGAGTGTACTGTATGTAGCCATGAGCAGAGTGCCTTCTTGGGATTTGCTTGAGATCTTAGGTTTTGACTCTTCTCATATAAAAACTGATCAATCTGTGATTCAGGAGTATACAAGATTGAAAAATGTAAACCAAAGATGTCTTGGTCAAATTAATTAATTAATATATATTAAATTAAAGATGAGAATCTCAGATTATTTTTTTTGTATTACATAAATATTATTAATAAAGTTCCACAAAAAAAAAAAAAGATTTTTTTCAATTAATCAATCTAATTGCTTACAAAGTTTTTTTCATTCCACTATGTGTGTTTCAGACTATTTTGATATAACACTACCTAATCAGTATAGTTTTCTTGGATATTATCAATATCGTATTAAACAAATTGACTTTACGTTTTCATTTCAAAAGGAAGCAAAGGCAGTATAGAAGGTTCACAGAGCCTGAGGCTCACACAACTACGGTGGGCTTCTTGCGCGTGGCCTGCTTTATGATCTTGCGTGTTCGTTGTGGTCTACAGAAAAGTAGTATGTGAAACTTCTAGTAGTTCTAGGAACTCCAACAACTACGGCAGGCTTCTTGCGCGTGGCCTGCTTTATGATCTTGCATGTTCGTTGTTGTCTGCTTTGCTAGTGGCTTTTTTTTTTTGTAATATTTATAACATTCATGTTCTTTGTAGAATCACCAAGCTAGATTCCAGGAAGTTGACAAATTCTGGAACAACATTGAAAATGAATATTTATATGAAAACTTAGTATAGAGGAGAAGGAATTGCAGTTAGATGAGGTAAACATTTTATTCTTGTTACTATTTAGATTGATATGATTAATAATGAACATTGGATTCTAGTTGGAAATAGCTCATGTGATAACTTGAGGGGCTTCAAAAGCAACTGCAATGGTAATGGAAAACATTGATGCAAAGCTGGTATGATTTAATTTCTATATAGTATATATAGTTTGCGAGTAGAATATCAATTTAATAATTATGTTTTTGTTACTTTGGCAGAAATTTAATCAAAAACATAGTTTACCTGATACATCTAAACCTACTGATGGAATCGAAAATGGAACTGTTAAAAAGGTTAGGTCCAGAATAAATACATGTTTAGCCTGCAGAAATGCTTTAAACATTCCCTATTTTTTTTGGATGTGGCAGATCAAAACGATCCAAGAGCCATCTATATCTGCTTCCATAAATTGCGACGACGAAACTGAGGAACAAGATGAACAAATTGAAATGGATCTTGCAAGTATTAGGAAACAGTTAGAGATGGAGCCACTTATTGAGGTACGTAGTAGGTTGAATGAACCTGAAAAAAAACCACAACAAAACTGAACTTTTCTACCACATTTTTAACGCTATTTACGTGCTTAAGTGGGAGATTGGTAATATAAACATCACACAGAAGTTTCGTGAGTATCAGCGAAGTGTTATTGACAAAACGATGAAGTATGGATTAAAGTGAAGTGACTCATATGAGATTTTGTAAGTATTATGAGACAATGTAGAACCGAAGAGTAAGATTGCATTTTTACTATTATAAATAAATTTATCCTTTATATTGTGCTTTAGGGCACTTGCATTGGTCATTGTCCTTTCTTGGCCATGTCTGTATTCAAAATTTTTTACCAACCGCGAATGGGACCAAATAATTCAAACAAATCCATATGTGATCCAATATCCTATAATACCATCATCCACCTCAAATATTCTTCGTGAAGCAGCAATAATGCATTTAATGGGAAAGGAAAGTTATATGCAACTCGATAAATCAGAATTGAGTAAAGCTGTTGCTCGCACATTTAATTATTTGTATGTTGACTTCTATTTCATCTTTGTCAGTAATTGGGAGAGAAAGTTTAAAGATTATATTAATTTTTTAACATATTATAGATGTGATATTCCTATCCGTTCTCCAGTCAAAACTTCTGAAGAATTGCACTGTGATCAATTGTTATATCCCTATATAAACTCTTTGTTTTTTGGACAACTTGCAGAATATGAAGTTCGACTTAATCATACAGTAAGTGGCACACAAAAACGTCCCAACTTCTCTTGTGTGTTGTCGATAATGTACCAATACTTAACTCTGAGATCAAACCACTTGGAGTAACACCATTTAAAAGGAAGAAAGATTTCACGAAAGTACATTTAAGAGCAAAAAGTCAATAAATCAACAACTGAACTCAAAAGGTGGTCCTGGTGAAGCAGGATTGTTAACGAATATGGGTATACAATAAATTGTTAACTTTTATTTATACATGTCTTCTAAATCTAACACATTTATATGCTCTAGGTGATGAAGTCAAATCTTTTTTTATGGAATTCAGATCCGGATTATACTGTTCTTGGTCCTTTCTTAGAACTAGATTACCAATCGATAAGGCATCAATGCCATTAATAGAATCAAATTTTTGCCACTTCGTAGCGTTAGAGGTATACAATGTTGTCCTATTTCAATTATCATTTTAATTTATAATGGAAATCCATTAAGTTTACGTCAAACTTTTCTCACTTGCAGAAACGAATAAATAAACTTGCCGAGGATTTTAAAAGATGCGGTGAAGAATTTACACCACCTCTACAAATGCAACAGAATTTCCCGATTCTCCACAACTTAGGAAATTGCTTGAATTATCATGAGAAAAAATAATAAATAATTTTTCTTATATATTAATGCAACCAGTTGTGAAGTTTAGCAGTTATTTGTATCAATAAAGCTGGTCCTGGTACTCAATTTGCATACATAATCGTGTTTATTTTTACATGTTTATTTCTGGGATTTATTCCAATGTATTGTTATCGATGTTATTTCAACCTGAGCACTCTCTTTAGAAAATTCGATCATATCTCTATAATCATGTGACAAGACTTTTGAAATATAATTACCATCCTTATTATTGTGATTTACTTTATTATTAAAAGTCATTACTATTACTGTCATTGTATTGTTGTTGTATAACGTGATTGAATAAAATAATTTTATTATTGATCCCTGAAATCTTTGATAATACAAATGTTCACTTTGTCTGGTTTTGTTGCAGTATGCCCCATATAATCTCTCAAATATATATATATAAAATTATCATTTACTTAATGGTTTAGTCACATATTCATCCATTCCTGAGTAATGGCATTTTTCTTGATCTCCTATCATTGCATGAGCTATTAATGCAATTATTGGAACATGACCACCATGTTGAGATTCATAATCACGAATTTTTTGTGTTGCCTCAAAACCACCCATTATAGGCATCTGAACATCCATTAAGATCTAAATTAAATAATATTAGTTATAAATAATTTTTACAATAATAAAATAATAATAATGAAAGTTTACCAAATCATATCTTTTAGATTTAAAGGCTTCAACAGCCAATTGCCCATTAGCAACTACTTCTGTTTTATGACCAAATTTCTCTAAAAATTTTACTGCTAATTTTTGATTTACTATATTATCATCAGCCACTAAAATATTCAAAGACTATTGTCTTGTACAATCAATTGGTATTAAAGAGTTATATTCAAGTGAAGGCAATAAAGCATTCATCAAATCAGGCAAAGTTGATGGTGTACTACTATATGAAGTAATGCCAAAATCTATACAACTCTTCATATTTAGTTCTGGTATTGTATGTGCTAATAATACAATTGGAGTATATCTGAGATATGTAATTTTTCGTAACCTTTCAACTATAGTTAAATCATCAACTATTACTGTATCAAACAAAGGTGCATATGATTTTCCAGATGCTGTGATAATAGCTGCTTCTTCAACTGAATTTACAATTTTTAGTTTAAGCCCTAATGTTTCAATCATATTAACAACTCCTGTTTTGTCATATAATGTATCAATAAATAATATATAACGTCCTTGCCATGGTAACATTTTTTGTTCAATTTGTTCTGGATTTGTTGTAGCAGGTGTGACTTTGACTGTGAAAAAGAATTCAGAACCTTTACCAAACTCACTCTTGACCCATAAATTACCACCCATCAAGTTAACTAAATGTTTGGATATTGAAAGTCCTAATCCAGTTCCCCCATATTTTCTTGTTGTGTCAAAAATCAGCTCAATTTTGTCTGCTTGAATTCCTATACCAGTATCTTTTACACAGAATGTCAAAAGTACTTGATCATCTTCTGTTTCTGATGTATCTACAGAAAGCATCACTTGTCCTTCATTTGTAAATTTCATGGCATTCTCTATAAGATTTGTTATGACTTGTCTCAAGCATAAGGGATCACCAATCAATTGATCAGGTATACCATTATTCACATCATATATAAGATCTAGTTTCTTTTGAGTTGCTTTAATGGCAAGAGTTTTTAAAACACCAAATACAGCAGAGTGAGGTGAAAATGAAATTTGTTCAATTGTCATACGTCCCGCCTCAACTATATGTATATAAATAATATATTAGTAAAATTACTCCTTTCTTTAAGATAATAACAATAATAATAACAATAATCTTACTCTTTGGAATATCCAAAATATCATCAATAATTGTCAATAAAGAATTAGCTAAAGAACTAACCATTGTTAAATTCTCACGTTGTTGACATGTTAACTCTGTTTCAAGTATCAAGGTTGTCATTCCTATAATACCATTTATAGGAGCACGCATCTCATGTGACTTATTTACCAAAAACTCACTCTTACTTCTATTAGCTAATTCAGCTGCTCCTCTTAAACCAGTATTTAATTGAATACTTTCTTTTAAATTATACACCATTTGACATATTTTAGTTTTAAGACTATCCAATACATCAGATTCATCAACAAATCGAGTAAAATCTCCATCAGTTGCAGCAGCAGTAACTTGTGCAAATGCACGTACTTGAAAAGTTAAATTTGCTGCCATGGTATTGACATTATATGTGATTTCTTTCCAAGTTCCTCTTACATCCTTAACTTGAGCTTGAGCACCAAATTTTCCTTCAGTTCCCACTTCTCTAGCTACTCTTGTTACTTCAGCAGCAAATTTAGATAACTAATAGATGATTATTTAAAAATATAAATAAAATTATAAATATAAATATTATATATAATAAAAAAATAATTGATTAAACTTACTTGATCAACCATAGTATTAATCATATTTTTTAATTCAAGGACTTCACCCCTAACATCAACAGTAATTTTTTTACTCAAATCACCATGAGCAACAGCTTTTGAAACATTTACAATGTCACGCACTTGAGAAGTGAGATTTTCTGCCATTGTATTGACACTGTCTGTTAATTCTTTCCAGGTACCACCCACATCTTTAACTACAGCTTGACCACCCAGAATACCCTCAGTACCCACTTCTCTAGCTACTCTAGTTACTTCAGCAGCAAACATACGAAGTTGATCAACTAAAAAAAATAATATTTACATTAAAAATGGGTAATAATAGTAAATAATAATAATAACAATAATATAATTCAATAATAGTAATAGTATTATTATTGAGATCTTACCCATAGTATTTATAGTATTTTTTAGTACAAAGGTTTCACCTTTAACCTCAACAGTAATTTTTTTGCTTAAATCACCATGTGCTATGGCAGTGCACACTTTAGCAATATCTCTTACTTGTTCAGAATGATTATTGGCCATCTGATTTAGATGAATCATCATTTCTTTCCAGCCACCATCTAAATATTGATTTTTAGCTTGAATTCCTAATCTTCCTTCACCAACTTCATGAGCAACTTGAATCAATTCAAAAGCTACATTGTCAATTTTTTCAACCATGGCATTGATTGCATTTTTTAAAGTAAGCATTGGACCTGATGAATAAGGACAAGTAACTCTTTTTTTGAAATCTCCAGAAGTAACAGCTGTGGCAACAGTTGTACACTGGTTAAGACATTCTAAACAAACATGGTCATCATGAACCAAAACAGGTGATGTTGAAGAAGATTTGTTGAAATCATCTGAAGGAGCAACAACGTTAGGATGATTGTTGCCATTAATAAGATTTTGCACTTCTAAACATTCATTTGCATCATTTATGATCATAATTGAATCAGACTCGCTGAGAAATGTTTGATATTGAGCAACTTGTTTTTCAAGTTGTAAGTGACGCTCTAATAATTTCTTTAATACACAATCCAATTTTATTGTATCTTCATTTTGTTGGCCTTGATATTGTGAATTCAAGCAATACTCTGTGTTTCCATCGTGAAGATTTTGAAGAATGTCAGTAACATATCTAATAACATCTGTCATCATGTATAAATAGTTAAATTTGAGTTTTTTTTTTTTATTTTTTTTTTACGATTTTCCTTTTAATTCTATTAAATTTTATATATTTATATACATAATATTTAAATAAGACCAAATTTAGAATTTAAAAAAAGCCACATCCGTCATCTTGTCTAATTTAATATTAAGAGTCTGCTAATCGGAAAAATTTTCTAATTATTTTTTTCGGCCTTTTAGGAAATCATGGAATATCATTCCAAAATTTTACAATTTACATATTAAAGGTCTAACTTTGAAGCCTTATAACTAATAAAAGGAAAAAAGCAAATCGATAAAATGGAGTTTACTTTTTTTTCTTTTTAAATGAAAAGTTATAAGCTTTTAAAGTCATATGATAATCATTGACTGTTATAGATGTCCTGCATTATACATACATTTTTTATTCAAAAAATTCAATTTTGAGCTATTTTATGTCAACGATATAAAAAAAAGGGTGCCAAAAGTGTTGAAAATGAACAAAAAATCTTTCACATGATAAAAAATGATTGGATATCTTGTTCACATGATAATAAATGGTTGTATATGATCCAAAGCACACACCACATGTTATAAAACCTTCATTTCTAAAAAAAAAAATTAAAAAAAATAGACTAGCCACAAACAGTCCTGATCTTAATCCCATTGAAAATGTGTGGTATATCATAAAATAACATTAAGGAAAGGATTCCAAGGAAATGTTAACGAATTGAAAAGATTTATGGCTGGAGAATTCCTCAGGAAGCAGTCAAAATATTATTATGTCTATGAAACGGAGTTCAAAAAAAACCACGATTTGATATAGGTTTGACCCATCCATCACTGAGATTGGCTTATTGAAGACAATCTTTCCAAATTTGGTAATTTTCACCAACATTGCCATTTTCTAATATATAGTACAGTGCGGATCATCTATACTCAAAAGTTAAAATTTTTGAAATATTATGTGATCCACACATTGGATTTTAAAAAA